GGCTAAAGGTACACATACCTTTTTTTTTTTTATATATTTATCCCCCAACCCCAAGTTAATATTTTAACATCTGTGGGTCTGTAGGGTTTTTTTTCCCTATCAAAGAAAAAAACAAAGCTAGAAAATAAAATACATTTATTCTGGTCATGCGCTTGTAATGCGAAGCAGTCTGCAGGATCTTCTTTCACCTGACAGCTGTACTGCTTTTTTTTTTTTTCCCCCTCCTTTGCTTCTCAGAATTATTTGAAATGAAAGAGCGTTTGAGCTGTTTGGTTTTTACATCCACTGATGTGAGGATCTGCTGGCTTTGTTTTTAACCTTTGTATGTTTGAAACCACTAGGAGTGTAATTCTACTTTCAGTTAGCTTTTGGAAGAAGTAGTTAAGTGGCTGATCGTAGGTAGCATTTACAGTGGAAGACTAACATCTTTTTGCTTGATGTCTTACAAGTTGCCACCCCTGTTATTCACCCCCCCAAAAAGAGACCATTAACTAGCCACAAAGCATGCATTTATTATAGTGAGAGGGTTTGACTTGAAATTGAGGTTTAACAATAACTAGATGGACACGTGAAACTCATTCACGTGACCATCTTAACTTGCATCCCAAGACATTAATATTTACCCTGTTATAATCTAGAAGGTATTTGTATGTTGGCATTGTGGGAGGGAGTGTGTATATGAAGATATAGTACAGGGATTAAACTCAAAACTCTGTTAGTGGCCAAAGAATCAAATCTTCCTTAGATGGAAAACAACTGTAAAAGGTTGAGTGTTGCTGATTGTAAGCATAACTTTCCTCGTGTTCACTTTCATTTCAATGTACTTTCTTTTTTGGAAGAGAAACTGGCAGTGAAGTATTGCGTCACCGTAATCTTGGATCACAGACAGAGGCAGTTACTTCAGAAGTTCAGGGGAAACGTATCCGAACTAAGGATTCGGTAGGCGTAGCTGATAATTAGAAGTCTTGGAAAAAATAACAGTAAATTTATTTAGAGTTTTTATTGTCTTGTTATTTGGGGGACACACGAAGGAGCATTTAATGCTGCCTTTGTCTTGCATGCTTTCTGCACCTTGGTGAACTGTTCTGGCTAAACTAGCATTTGCCACACATTGATCTATTACAGTAGCACATATAGTAGAAATAACGTAAAAAGAAGAAATTGCAGAACTTGAACGCCACATCCTAGTAACACCTCATGAAGTACAGATTCTGCCAGCTCACTGGGGAATAATAATTAATAAAACGGTAACAGTAGCTGGAAACAAAGCTAAAACAAAGTGTGCTTTGCTTTTACTAAAACTTGTTTACCATGAAGGGGTAATAGCGATGCCTACTCCTCTGTGTCATAAATTGGATAGCAGAAGTATTAGATGAAATTGAGTTTCATCTCCTTGGACTATTATGAGGGTCAGAATGAAGGTACTTCCCATAGAATAACTTTCAAAAGTGGGGAAGAAAAATCTTTTGGAAGAAAAAGCAAGTTGTTACCATCTGTTGTTAAGGCTGGTTAGTATTGGGGATATCAGTTTTCTCCTGCTCCAGCACCACAGGATGACCACAGCAGGGCTAACTGCTGCTTGCAGAAGATGGCTGCATTGGGTCGTGATAAAAGGTATCGATTCTGGGCCCCCACCCCCGCCAGCAACTAAAATGAATGAAAAATGATCCCTCCCTCTTCCCCTGGTTGCCTGTGAAGTGTTCTCAGAACGTAACTTCAGGGAAGATTGCTTATCCAGCCGCCTCTGCCCTGAAATGGAGAACAGCCATGTAA